GTACACACTGAAGCTACTGGTGTTAATTTAAAGTAAAACGAGCAGAGCAGGGGACACTACGGTACACACTGAAGCTACTGGTGTTAATTTAAAGTAAAACGAGCAGAGCAGGGGACAGTGCGGTACACACTGAAACTACTGGTGTTTTGGTATTAATTTAAAGTTAAACGAGCAGAGCAGGGGACAATACGGTACACACTGAAGCTACTGGTGTTAATTTAAGGTAAAACGAGTAGAGCAGGGGACACTGCGGTACACACTGAAGCTACTGGTGTTAATTTAAGGTAAAACGAACAGATCAGGGGACACTGCGGTACACACTGAAGCTACTGGTGTTAATTTAAAGTAAAACGAGCAGAGCAGGGGACATTGCGGTACACACTGAAGCTACTGGTGTTAATTTAAAGTAAAACGAGCAGAGCAGGGGAGCTTCAGTGTGTACCGCAGTGTCTCCTGCTCTGTTCGTTTTACCTTAAATTAACACCAAAACACCAGTAGCTTCAGTGTGTACCGCAGTGTACTGGTGTTTTAGTGTTAATTTAAGGTAAAACGAGCAGAGCAGGGGACACTACGGTACACACTGAAGCTATTGGTGTTTTAGTGTTAATTTAAAGTAAAACGAACAGAGCAGGGGACACTGCGGTACACACTGAAGCTGCTGGTGTTAATATATATATTCGTTATCTCCGTAGGATAAAGCGATTTGATTACACAGATATATAATTACACGTAATGAGATGTTTGGGGTTCTGGTGACATTCCATTCATCATTCTTTGGGTTTGGTGTCTGTCCCAGGAACCTCAAAATTCTCAGAACCAACCCGTTAAATCTCCCTCTGAAGAATAACCCAATTAACGACTTACGGTTAAAGTAATATTTCTTTCTTGAGGATATCTTATATTAAGTCGTTTGACATGTGGTGTGTGTATATATATGTATATATATACATATACGTATGTATCTAGCAACAAATGACCAATCTGTACAGAGACCAATCATCTCTTAGCCCAAGGACA